AAGTGTTGTGTATATCTGGTAGAAAAATATTATGAAAACACGTGGAGCTAATATTATATAAATATTATACAGATAATATTCTAAAGTAAACCTTCGGCAAATATTTACAAAATGTACGATATTCGTTAAATGTATAGAAAATATGGGACAAATATTTTGTGCTACTAGGGACGGATGCATCCGTCTCGTTACGCAATCGCCCGTGATAGGAACGAAATATCGAATGAAGTAGGCAATGAACGTGCATCTAGAGAGTAGGGAAATATTGGTCGAAGGTGCCAAAGCCAGGTGTTAACGATCTCGACTACTTCCGACCTCGGCTTTTCGGCGCGACCCGGAGAACTCGACGTTCCTAAGGAAGCGCAGGCTAGGAAATTAGCGGACGCACCGACGCAACGCGGAATAAATGCACGATGTATAATTACCGGACGCGATGCCGAGTGCGGGAGAGAGAAAAGTTATTATACATGTACGTAGGTAATTTGAGTATAGCACGCCTCTTTGCTCGAAACCCGCCACCTTCGCTGCCCGAGAACCTGTACCGTACTCGATGCACCGACATACCACCCACGGTGCAACTTGCACGACCGACACGAGCAAACACGGTGGCGTGCATAAACTGCCAAAAATGCACCGACGTTAGCAACCCCACACGCACCGATTTACCTTCGAGCTGCCGTACTTGCATCGCGGTCCAGATCACGTTTTACGTAAAATTATTTAATACACGGTATACCGCATAGACCGAGGGGGCTGTTCGCTCGGAAATCTGTGAAAACAATTTCATTCTTTGCGAGCCGATTGCTTTTCATTTCATATGACAAACAACAGTGCGATTCGGTAATAAGTGACGTTAGGCCTTAAAATGGTGACAGTGTTTCGATGATTTCCAACGATTTCCCGTCATTTCTGCTTGCGATGCCCAGTTAATGTCCACATGATTTCCAGCGTTAAAATCCATTATTTCCTGAGTGAATACCCCCTCCGACATGTGTTATAAATTTGGTACAAAACGTATGTAATAAAATTATTTAAAAAAGTAATAATTTTATAATAATTTTAGAAGACACATTTATAAAATTATAAAATAGTATCATAAAATTAAAATCTCGGACAATTATAAATAATGTGTACTAAGTGACTCCCGAATATAAATTCTATAATTTTCCCACACGATTTCACAAAAATATAACATTGTTATAAAATTGTAAATTTATTTAGAAGTTTGAAACAAATGTATACCAATTCACTTATAAGACATCAAATTTATTATTGTATTACAGCCTTGTGTACTAAAAGTCTATGAATTTTATGAATTTTTTTAACAACGTATAGACGTACTTGGAGCTATACTCTATCGAGTATCTTGATCTCAAAGTTCACCGTATCCTTAATACCCCTCACAGACGTGACATATATATTAAACAACGATATGAAATTGAGTTTTTAGACTGACCTAATTTTTCGAAAATAGCAACGTCGTACGCACCAATTTCTCATCGAGAGGCTGTACTTCCACCGCGGTTCAGATTACGTACAACGTGAAATTATTTAATACACTGAGAAAAAAGACTAGTTGACCGAAACAAACATATATTTGTTGACATCTATATCGTTGCCTGAATATCGTCGTTGGACGTATTTCATCGCGAGATTTTATTTTTGCAATGCAATTTCATTAAGTCAACCAATTTTTTTTTTTTTTTTCTTAGGATACACGGTACACCGTATAAACGTACTTGGCGCGATACTCTATCGAGAATCTCGATCTCAACGTCCATCGTTCCCTTGATCATTCTCCAAAAACGTGACATGTACATTAAACAATGACCTGAAATCGAGTTTTTAGACGGCTAAAAACGTATTAACATTAACATTCCTTCAGGCAGTACAATTTTTTGTTAAAACATAATTCGTCAAACTTGATTTGTACCGCACCATGATTGTGGTCTAACTGAAGCTTTACAAACGAGTATTGCACCCCAATACCCAGGGTACTGCATCTAAAAATTCCCGACATACTTGACAATTCTGCATTAACCCTTAAACCGTGGGCATTGCCAAAATGCAATATTATTTCACCGTCGCTAAACAAAATAAAGCCCAACGATTTGAGTGCGTTTGCAAATGAAATCGTCGTCCTTCGAGCGTTAAAAATCTAAAAAAAAAAGAAAAAGACTTCAGAAAGGCATCGATACCGTCCAACCCTTGCACAAATGTCCCATATCAAAATGCAAGTATTCGTCCCCCAAATCCAGATCATACATTGCATACGAGGACTAATCACCCGGTGTAACGTACTCCGAAGTTTCCCCACGCGATTGACAAGAAACTCTGCGGAAGTAGATTAAACAACGACGTAAAGCGTCTTCGCAGCTGCGCTAGAATCGAGTGCGACCGAAGTATCCACTAGAAGTGTGCCAAAACAAAAGACCCCTTGACAAATCGGGCCTGTTAGTAAAGCAAAACGACCTCTGTCGGCCCCTCGAAAATCGGTATAACGCGACTCGTCAACTGGACGGTCCGGCGTGGATAAACGTCGGGTATTCCCGGAATCCCCTTGGTCCAAAATATACACTTGTCACCAGCGAGGTGATACCGCTCCCGTTTCCTCACTTTTCCGTCAAAATGAATCCCAAGCGTCCAAGAGCCCCGAGAGAGGGAGCTCGACTCTGCCAATTTTTACAAGAAACCGTTCTAGCGTGTTCGCGTATTCACAAGTACTCATGGTACCATATCGATCGCAATTAAATTCATTCCCATCAAGGTTCCGAGGGTTCCCTCGCAGCAATCGCGCGAACAAATAATCTCCCTCTTTTTCTTTCCCCCACGGCAGATATCCTTGTACAACGTCTTAACGCCGCGTCCTCCAATAAAAATGGCCGTTCGTTTCTCTCTGCACAAGATCGCCGTCCAGGCGATATTAACAGGCCGCGGGTCTAAATTAGATACACCGTTAGACTTCGTCACGGAAACTGGATCCAATAGCCTTGCATTCATCCGCATGTAGCCAGAAAAAAAAAATAAAAAATAAAAAAAAACGGTGAATTAACCGCGAGCCTCCGAACCGGATTCCACCCGTTGGAACGTTTCCTTTAATTGCATAAACAAAACCCAACCCACCGGAGCCGTTCTTTCGCGAATCTTAACGTTTACACCGAGGCGCCAATGCCGTTTCTTTCGCCGTTCCTTCCTTCCTAGTTTAAGCGGCTGGCAATTATTTAGCCGGGCGAGCCGCACAATTTAAATACCTCGGTTATTAATAGATAAGCTTGCCAATTGGTCGCGCAGCCAATAATCTTCGGTGACGCTACCAATGTTTACCGGGTTCGATCGCACCGCCCAATCATTGTTAAAACAATTCCCCCCTGTCCCGTACGTGCATCTAATAAAATAAGTGGCCGCTAAAAATGATATTTCTACGAACGCCATCCTCCATCGATAACTCGCTACGTAAAGATAAACATTTTCCCCGAGGACAATTTCGCTCGAGCACCCCAGCGACTCGCGATAATTGTTGCTAAAACTCTGAGTCCACGTGTCCTACACTGTTAAATATATATATATAATACTCATATATATATAAATTCAATCTCAACCCTTGTACCGAGAACTTCCTCTAGATACGGTATACGAAACTTACAACACGTAAATTCGTTTTTAATATATATACAAACTTCATAATTCTTCAAGCTGACTTAGAATGTTTGCGATAGAACTATAAAATTCGAGGAATATGTTATAAGCACTTGTATGGGTTGCAATTTTATTATACACCAAATTCCAAAGATCCCTTTCTTCTCAAATTGTATGAAAGCAAGCATTTATAGCAGCGTGGATTAAAACGTATCGGCCTCCTGGGATGCGATTACAATTCTTTTTTTTTCCACGTTTCTTAATATACAAGTGTCCTTTTTTTTTCTAACGCTGCGTCGGAGCCCGAGCGATCACGTGCCCGTCACGTTGCCAAGTCAAAGGCAAAAAGGACCGTCCATTTATTTGGTCGTCTCGGGGGCAGCTCGGATCGGCCGAGTCGTCCAGATCCTCGGAAAGGGTCGTCCTGGTAGTCCCTTCCCGGAGACCTTCCGCCGTTCCTTGAATGTCGCCCAAAGTTTCCGCTGCCATAAATCCTCGCCCAGAAAAACAAGAGGGGCAATATCTGCCGAGGACCCGGGCCTCCTTGAAAAGTTAATATTTTGCCGATTTACGAGGCAGCCGGGCCGCCACACCACTACTACGATACATTTTATTGAAACGTCCCCGTGGAAAACTCCGGAAGGAAAAAGCGCGAACGGATTCTCCCGGATCCCGAGAGTAGAAAGTAAGTAAGAAAGAGAACAGAAGAAAAGAAAAAAAACAGACCTACCAAACGTTTACGTTTCGCAGATCCTCGCCCCTGTCCTCTCCTTTCGGCCAAGTAAAACAGAATGAATTGACACAGATCTCTAACGGCGCTCCGAAATCATTGGCTTCTGCAGGTCGAGGAAATTGTTTTTCCCGAGCAGCCGTTAAAACGATATTATTATCCGTTGACGTCGAATCGTCAGCGGAATGGCACAATAATTAATGATCATTTTAACCGCAACGATTACGTGACAACGGACGACAATGGTTGATCAATTCCTCGCTGGAAGATCGATAATTCGAGCAATCGCCGGGAACGGGTACGTACGGGACGATAACACGAGTCCTACTGATTGGATCGGAATCGACACGATCATTCGACAAGACCGGACGCAGAGGTCGTCCTTTCGGGAAGCGCCTCGCTTTTCGATGTTTACCCTCGAAAACTCTCAACCAGGCAACACTATCGGGACGATTTTCCTTCGAACGGTCCCAACAGCTGAGCAAGGAGCACTTTTCGGAGCAACGGGTCGACCCCCTCGAGGACACCCCGAGAATCCCGGGTCCCTCGTTTTCCCGAAACCCGGAGGATCGTAAATCGGCCCTCGGCCGGTAAAAAGAGTAGCGGTAAAGATAAGGACGGGGGGTTTACTCACCACCGGGCTGTCCGGCGTGTTGCGATGGTGCCCCATGGAGATGTTGGCCATGGCGACCCCTCCGCCGGGGTTCCCCATGTCCTGGTACTCGTCGGAGATCTCCATCGCGTAGGATGGCAACGGTTCTCTGTTCTTCACCCGAATTTTGGCTGTTTATCCGCAGCTCGCGGTCGTGGTTGGGTTGGAGACCGGCCCCCGTGACTGCGGGGGAGCTCGGTGCGCGAGGACCGAGTCGAGGATGCCGGGCGACCGGACGGCGGTCCCGAACCCTTTGCCAATATGGCGGCCGCGATCGAGCCAGGCGACGGCGCGGGACTCCGATATCTCGCGAGCCGCGGTACAGGCGCCCCCTCGTTCGGCGCCGCGCGAAAATTCGAAATCGACCGCGGCTAGGTTAGGCTAGGCTTCCCGACCGGCGTGACGCGCTCGCATGTCTCGCGGACCCGAGGAAGTCGCGGCGGCGCGCGGCCCGAGTGGCCGCCGGTTCCTAACCCGACCGCGTTCGGTCGCACCGGCGGGGTGCGCGCGCACCCTGGGAGCAGACCGCGCGGGACCCGCGTCGCACTCGAACCGCGCGTCGCTCCTGGCCTCCCGGCCGTCTCTCTCTTCGCGCGACTCGCCTCCGGGTGACACTTTCGAGCGGACCGACGCGGCACTCGGCGGCGGCGACGACTCCGAGCTGCGTCCGAGAGCGGGCCGAGCTCCAAAGGGCGATCTCGCGGGAGGGCACGACGCTCTGCACTGCACCGGTGCGCTGCGGTCGACGGACGAGACGTGTGCACACTCGCGTCCTCTGGCGATCTGAGCCGCGGCCCGGCCGGCGCGCGCCCGTGCTCGCCCCCACCACCGGCCGCCGGGGGGCGGGGCCCCGCGGCCGACCAATCGCCGGAAGCCAGCCCGGCCCGAGAGGACTCCGCCCAGGCGCGCGCCGGCTCGCCGTTGGATACGTCCTATCGGATAACGACCTCGCCGACCTCCGGCGTTGCGACACGCCGACGTCGAGCCGGCCCGCCGAAGGACTCGCCGACCCCCGATGCTGCGGGCTTGTCTCGGGCAAGGATTCGTCCGCTTTCGTTGCCTGCGATTAAAGGACCCTCCGAGAGATTCAACGAGCGTTCTTCCGATACTTATTTGTTGTTTTTTTTTTTATAGGACTCTGCCTATTGCAAATCCGAATCTAAATAATGGGTCGTTTAAGTTTATGAAGACAACGGAGAGACTCTAAGGACCCCAAGTGTATTTTCCGTGCTCTTTTCGAAAATAGAATTTTCTTCCTTAAGGCTTGGGTCCGCGAGCTCGCAAAACGTACTATAGCTGCTCTCGGACAATTCTTACCGATAACGACCCCGATTTTGGAATCGAACTTGCGCAAATTTATTGGGAGAGTACCCACTAATTCAAGTCGCTTCTGCAGGAAACGTCGCAAGTTACTTGCTCGTGAGGCTTCAGGTGAAGGTATCCTTCGGCTAGGTATTTATTCAGTCATTTGCGTTAATGTTTTGCGTTGGGAAGTTAATACGTTAAAATCGGCGGCAGGGAAAAAAAAATGTTATTCAACCTAAAATACACTTTTCTGCAAATAACACCAGGGCCGCATTTTATCGTGCCAAAGAACTCTAGTTGATTTCTGAAATGAGTGAAAAACCGTATTTACAGTAATTGCGTGATTTCGAAATGCGGTTATTATAAATTCTACACAACTTAAAACAGAACCGATGGTAAAGTAGGGTTAAGTACTCTGTTTTTATCGCCCGGCTTTTAAAGTTTTTTGGCAAGATTTAATGTTTTAACATTTTCCTCGTATTAACGGATGAAGTTGGAGACGTGTGACGCGCAAAAGCAAAACGTGGGTTATTAACCTCTTCGCGGTAGCTTATAGTGTCATGCTCGAAATAACGCAAATGACCTCCAACGACTTGTTACGATATTTGCATACTTTGTTAAATACGTCTTGGACAAATTGTCAAACTACGATATCGCCACGTAGGTACTGGCAAGCAACCCAAAGTCAAATATAATACTACCTATACTTTTATAAGAGTAGTGCGTATATAAGAGGGTTCATGTTCTCAAATATGAAAGTCAGTAAAAATTTAATAAAATTATCTAGAAAGATCTCCAAACACGAACCGTTAGGGAACGAAATTCTTCCCTTTGTTTCCCTTGGAAATTTGTCAGCGATTGGTTCTCCCTTTTGTGGCCATTCCTTCCTGAAAATGAGGAAAGTTAATCGTTTTTCCATACCTTCCCGAAACTAGCTTCGCTATCGAGAATTGTCTCCACTTAAAATGCCCCGTCCGTACTTCCGGCTCCTAATCGTTTCCGCGGCCTGACGATTTAACGACAAATGACTGTAGCCTGTGACCCCGTGTGAAAAAACAAAAGAATAAAACAAAAGAACGGGTAACTTCCGTGAAATTTCTTGTTATCAAGAAGTCAGTTGCAGATTCACAAGGGTATGAAAATAGAATTCTTCAATTATAATGTTGTACTCTACCTTAGAATATTAATACCTACGACATATTCAGTTGCATTTCGTAATCACCTCTGAACATTAATTAATAGTTATAGATTTAAGCAATTAATGTATTCTAGAACATTTTATGAAGGGGCCTGTGTCTTTAAGTCTCACCATATCCTTTATTAAAAGTTGTACATCACGTCGATAGTCACCTGTTCTGGTAGCGGCTGCCGGTTATCGTAAGCGTACGCCATTTTGAAAATACGTAGCTGTAATATATTGTAAACTGTAAGTATACTTGAAGATTATAGTTGTATAAGATCAGTTTATAAGTTAGTATTGAATCTTGTTTATGAATAATCTATCTATTTTTCCATAATCTATATTATTTTTGCGTATTTATAAGCAGAGATATGTTGGCATCTCTGTATTGGGTACTTATTCATGCGCGATAACGCGCGGTCATAACATGTGCTGCCCTCGTGTGAATTATTCTGCAATGTACAATTCTTTGTCTGCGCCATCTACCGCAGACATGACGAAGTAAAGATATTTTCTTTCCCGATAATAAATAAGTACACTGAAAAAGACACATGTTCTTCAAGAGAGATTATTAAGTCCATACTGCTAGTTTATTGACATATTGTAATACAACTGTAAAGGCGTACATTTTCGCACAAATGTTGACAGTCTATTGATGTTTGACTCAAAGGGTAACATGTAGTATTGATTTGAGGGTAACACGACGAATTAGAGGTTGGAAGAAGTCACTGTGATTACTCGAAGTCGATTTCTTTTAGTTTTTACTTCAAATTTTCCCATCGTTATGTATATATTTATAAGGCGTTATAACAGTTATATACGCATTGTTCGGAATGATCATGGTTGCGAATTTGTATCAGTTCGACAAACGACAAAAAGTTCAATCGTCGACGTTTGATGTTACAGAAAGAGTACCTATCGTGTTCCTCTACAAGATGGCGCATCGGATTCTCTAACACATGGAGCGGCTCTAGCATTAAGTATAGTTCGTGTTTTTATTGACTCGGTTATTTTTTTTTTTAGTTTATTTTTATTAAGAATTAAAGGATATCAACACAACTTTGAAATTACATCCAACAACATTGTCATGTGATATTATTCATTTTAATATATACCGTACCAGTCTCTGCTGAGCCGCAGATTTCTATACATAAACCTAGGTCGCTAACAGTGGCTGTATGGACTGGAGAAAAATGTGCCAGGGTTACCTTCCGCTTTACCTCATTTAGGGTTCCACCAGTTACCGTTTGGGGGCGCTGAAGCTACATTTTATAGGGATATTTTAGTTGAGGCGAGCTTCCCCCCCCCCCCCCATGGTAGGATGGGAGGACACAGATGCAAAATTGTGTAGGTCAATTCGATAGCTGTCAATATCGTTAACTTTTGAAAGAACACCCTTAATGATATCGAGAACTTTGGAATTGACGTACAGAATCCTGCTACAAGCTAGTCGACCTACCCCAGGCTTGTTTTTTCTCGAGAATTTAATTTCGAGTAATATAACCGAGAATGTTACGCAACCTGAAGATCCCTTGAGCATTTAAAAGAATTTAAGAAAATTCTGAGAATTTGTATTTAAATTAATTTATTACTTTTAGTTCGTAATATCCATAAAGTCAAGGTACTTATTAGCCGAAAAGAGTGTCCCATTAATTTGCGATTCCTTTCTTGCTTGCAATGATCTATTTTTGCAGTTTGTCTTGTCACTCATATTAATCTCAAGATATGGAAAAGCTTGGGAAGTTAGGTTAACCGATCAACTGTGACTTGCCCAATTATTGGAAGTTCAAGAATTCTGGCATTGAAAGTTTATTTTTACAACTTAATATATAACACTGGTGCGGCATTTTTTTAATTTAATTCGTGAAAACTATAAATGTTACGTGACATCATGTGACATCTGCACTTTCGCGGCTTTGACTAAACGCGTCAAATTACGAACTACCCTGCCCTCTTGCGGCTGTAAATGGAAACCGAAATGAGGTAAACCGGAAAGAGTCTTGAGCACATGTCAACTTCCACTGATAGGAATCTAGGGTTATATATAGAAATCTGTGCTATGAGCAATCTTCCAACTGATCTCTAGTTTCGTTTCTCCTGACTCTCAATTCGCTGCCTTCTTTACCCTGTCTTTACCGACGAAACTCCCATCTTTGGGTTCAGACACCTGCCGCTTGGACGCGGCAGTGTCGCACTGGTCACGGTCGCGAGACGCGGTGCGCGTACACATTCCCGCTGAAATATGTGATTTTCTCTGAGCCGAATGGTCCGCGATTGCGGCTCTTGTTCAACGGAGTGGTTCTCCCTCGGCGAAGGCAGGCAAGGCTAATTTTGCGAACCACGGGGAACCGGAGCCGTGACCTTCGTGTTCTCCTCGAGCCCGGCCAGTCGTTGACCGACGCCATTTTGTGACCACGCACCGACGTAAACATCAAACTTTCTAATCGTGTTTATCCACTTGCAGGAGCCAATTAGCCGAATCGTACGGGTTGACTCACGAATCTGCGAGGTTTTACGATTTCCCTGTGCAGGAGATTGCCCTTGAATTGTCAATCCTTTCCCTTGAGGGGGCGACGCGTTTCGCGCCAATTTGACTACTGCACCTGGTGCATCTGCCTACCTAAAGAACAGCTGTCCCAAGCGTTCCAGGGTCACGGTTTCCTGCATGATTATGTATTGACTCCTCCCGCAGGGCTGTAAGGTAAAACCGCATTACCCATTGAGGGTATTTTAGCTATGTGCTACCACTTTTCCAACGATACCACAATCTACCTTCTCTGAATGAAGTGTTCGACTCTACGCACGATGTGCCAGTGATTCCCTCTACGTTGGTGCCACTCTGCATGTAGCAATCGGAGCATTTGCAGATAACTTTGTTGGAGTCGACGTATGAGTTGTACAGAATATTCCCTCACTGAAATTCTGGAGATGTATGCAGTGATTCAGCGTCCATAGATAACTACAGATCCGTTTCATAAGCATCGACGCTCGATCGTAATACCTGTGGAGTATCGCTTGGAATTAAGTTGGATGATGAAAGATCTGACCAAAACATCATCAGAATTAATTATGAAATAATCTATACAGAAGTTTTAGTATTATGGTATAGATTATGTAAAGACTGTGAACGAAGACTCTGAAAAAGGAATTCGAACACCTGTGAGTGAATGAAGATTTTACTGTGAATGAATCAATATGGAAATGCATAGAGGAGTTCTTCTAAATCAACATTTTGTGCTTGTAAACAGTCAAAATTATACTGTTTTACATTCCATAACATGTATCTCAAGAATGAGACACTGAGTGTTAAACTCAGGTATCGCAACCATTCGTTGAAATTGATTGATTGGCACAGATTATTGTATCAGTAAATGAGTTGTGGTAGATTTTAGAAATGGATGTTTTATAAAGTCTCAGAGAGTACTGCAACTCATGGTATATCAAAGTACTTGGTGAACTAAGTTAATAGCGAGACACGTGTTCTACAAAGTATTTTTAAAAGAGCCAATGATCGTGAGAATGTGAATGATGGTATTCCACATTCCAGAATATACATTGTAGCAAATGTAAACGAAGTGCTACATTGAGATCTTTAAATTGTACATATATGTGATAAATTAAGTGACAAGTTACTGCAGTGTGGAATTGCACTGGTTTCTAAAACTCATTGCTCCACATAAAGGCTCGTACAAAACCATCTGTAAATTATATATCACTTATTTTGATCAATTTATAATTAAACGAGAACTTTTAATAAGTCTTTAACCTTCCTTCATTTATAAAGGAAAACTATTTTTTAAGAGCTTTGGAAAAGAGTTATTACAATAATGTGATAAGCGGATGTTTCAGTTATTATCATAGAAATGAACCTAACTTAATATGTAACCTAAAACTCTAAAAGAAGTCACTGGTGTAATTTTTAATGTTTCTAATGATATGTTAAATAATTTTTCCTTATAAACAAGAGACTCCAAGTGTGAGGTAAATAATAAGGGATGTTAAACGATTTGCATGTTGTGGATGACACATAAGCTGAAACATGTCCGGTGACTCGGGATGGAGCTCTGTCATTCCCCATCATTCCGAATTGGAGTTACAAAATTGGAATTGGGACGAGAACGATGGGGAGCTGGAACGAGAACTTCCTTCGACGGTTGATATGGAGGCGATAAAAGGTGGCGGTAGTTGGGATCCTGCCAGTGGTCCTCATGGTACTATTAAGCATCTTCCTTTTCTTCTAGACTACTTTACATATTATTTATACTCTTCTGAAATAAATTCATATGTATGCATTTTTTGTGTTCTCAATTCAGGAACTGATTCCATGGATTCTGAACAAGATTCTGATTCTGAGGATGAAAGCTCAGGTGGATCCGATGGTAGTTGTTCTTATTCGGACTCTAATTCAGAATCAGAAGATGAAAGCAGTGGAGAGGAAGGCGAAGACAGTGGATCTAATTCTGACTGTACTTCTGAACACAGTGAACAGACATTCTCAATACAAGAGACAAATTTTGAACAGGTACCATTTTATATTTTATGTATCATTTGACGTGTTATATTTAATCTGGTAGAATATAAAAAAAAAATTGGTTGCAACATGTGCATTTGTAATTTGTAGGGAGCATTGAAATTAAAAATTACTATGAAAGCTCCAAAAAAAGAGGAAATGGAAAAACCAAAATGCGATAAAGGAAGAAGGGTACTTTCTAGAAGAACAAAAGCTGTCAATCGTAGTGCAAAGGTATATTATATAATTTTATAATATATTATTACCTTTGGAGTGAAGTACTTTATTACATAGAAAAATACCCCTTGTGTATTCTGATTAAGGTATTCTTTTTTTAATTTGAACACAAATTTGAATAGTGCAAAAATTTCAATGAATTCGAGAGAATGTAACTGTGTTTTACTTATTAAGAAATTAAAATGCATACCATTTTTTAAAAATCAAGTATCAATTCCTTTTAATCATGTAAACATAATGGCGTTTTGTTGGAATAGTTTATTGAATGAAATATCAATTACAAATAGGTGCTGGATATATAATCTTCTTAAATAGAAAAGGTTTTTTAATTACATTAATTAATTTTATTATTAGTTGGTAATTAATTGAATCACTGCAGTCAAAAAAATCACAGTCTTTTTTTTCATCTTTACAAAGTGCTTATTAAAATAGTCCAATTTCATGGTGAAAATCTATTATTAAATTAAGAGAACGATTCCAGAAACCTGAGATTACCTGGACATATTGCAACAATGAAGAAAATCAGTTCTCTATGTAACATGAAAGCAAGTTACTTTTATGAAATTTTATCTTTTAATTAGCATATATATGTATGTGTTACATAATTTCTTCTGCACCTTTATTGATAAGTACTACAGTGCTCTTCTGAGGCATTCCTGCGGTTACAATCGTATCTTTAAACAGACTTCAGAAGGCAGTAGCGAGGAGTCGGACTCATCGGGGAGTAATCCTTCGTCACAAAATTTGCAACAACCACTGGCGCCACAGCAGCAGCAAACTCAACCATCTCAGCAGCAACAGCAACAACCTCTGCAGGAGATTAACCAAGAAGATTTAGCAGCCATTTTACCGGACCAGGAGCACGAGGATGCTCCATTCGATGGTTTCGAGGATTCTGAAAGTGGCCGGATAGTGTCAAGAGCCATCGAACGAATGTCACTCGGAGCAGATTCTGACACAAGTGAGAATGCCGATCAGAATCCTGTGCCGGTGTACAGTTCAACGTTACTGCAGCAGTTCGTGGAGAAAACGGCTCTCCTATCGGAACCACGAAAAAGACGAAGTAAGCTGGTAAAGAAGTTAAACGAACCAGAATATGCTTGCATATCAAACGTTTCTCCAGATTCAGGAATACAATCGGTAGACAACAGTCCATTGCATTTGGGAGTCAATCCTGCAAGTCCACCTGCTGCAGTCCAGTCTCCGATTCAAGTAGCACCGCCAAAACCTGCGGTCAATGTGGATCGGGTACTATATCCACCGAAAAGAAAGCCTGGAAGACCGGCTAAAGGCGTATCCACTCAACCTAGGGGACCAGGAAGGCCAAGACTAAAGCCTGAGATCGCGCAGAAAATTGAAAAAATTGAAAACGAGCTAAACGACAGTCCTGCAACAGACAAACCTGCTAAGGAGGACGCATCTAACGAAAAGTTAAAAAATGAGAAATTAAATTCGTCACAAGTGAAGCCCCAAGCAAAACTGGAAATGAAACAGGATACCACCGTAAGAAGCAAAAACCTCAAAAGTAAGAAGTCTTGTCAAAAGAAGAAGTATAGTCCCGTTAAAACATTGCAAGAGAAGCCTTCTTCGAAGAAGGATAAGTTATCTCCGACGAGAGAAAAGTGCCTAAATAAATCAGCACCTACTAAGCACACGAAGGTGTTAACGCGGTGTGATGGTAGAGCTTGTAAGAAACGACAGGATAAGTCTTATACGAGTAAGGGCATTGCTTCTCCGTGTCGGCAAAGATCCGCCGATAAGGTATCCAGCGAAGAGAGGATCGTTAGCAACACTAAGAAAAGCTCGAAGGAAAATAGAATAGACCCTTCCGTGCTGTGTAAAAAGCAGAGTACCCTAAAGAAATCGGCGCCACAGTCTTCTCGTCGAGTTCTAAAGGAAAACAAAAGCAGCAAAAGATCAACTACTGAATTAGAAACCAACGGAGTCGGGGTACAAACTATGATTTCCATGCCCATAGAAGGCGATGCTTTAAAGTCAGAACTCTCAGACAATGTTTTCGGCAAAGCCAACAAAGCTGTACAATCCATGCACAATCATTGCCATAAGCATCATCATCACAAGCACAGGAGACGTTTAATACCACCAAAGACACCTATACGAGTAGATCCGTGCATCGTGGAGGAACTGGAGAAGCTCATCGAAGAGTTCTCTAAATCCTGCAGTTTGGGAAGATACAGTGCAAATTCCGGCCACTCTGAACTGCCGCAAATATTTCGGGTGAAAAAAATGACGAAAAAGAGGAAGGGTGGCGACGTAAGTATTAACGACGAGCAGAAACTGAAGAGGCGCTTAAAAAAGGAGAAAGCTCCTCTTAATATCGATTCGAAAAGCAATACGAACACCAGCACAAGCTCCAATTCAAACGAACAACGGTTGCCCCTTAAGAAGAGGCACTATCATGTATCTAGTCCCCATAGTTCTCAAAGCTCCAATGCCAGTTGTACAGACACAAATGCTAACGAGTCTAATTCTACGGAGAGTCACATAGAAGAGGCCATCGAAGCGACCATAACACGATACGGAGGAAGTTCCGGTGGGAATTCCCAGCACAAAGATGCGATACCGGTTACTCCTAAAAAGAGGCATCGCGATGCTGATAGTGCAACACCGGAGAAGTTAGGAAATGAAAGCTGCGATTCAATGGATGACAAGCCCCTGAATCAATTAGAAATTCAGCCTAGGCGAAAAAAGAAAATACTCAGAGATTTGAGGGTTACCGTCACAAAATTATCTGCTTCCGAAAATCAAACGTCTGCTGATAAAGGGGAAAAGTCGGAGAAAGCTGTGTTCGATAAGAATCTAAAAACATCTGGAGAGAAAACGGGAAAGGCTGAAAAAGCTTCGCTCGAGAAGTCGGTCAAAGTAGACAAGAGTCAGTCTAAGAAAGCCCTAAAGTCTGATTCATCGACCGATAATCCACGGTCAGAAAGAAATGCCTCCAATCTGGATGCTGCTTCTTCTACTGCCGCTTCCTCTGATAGTAACGAATCGATTAAGGATACCAAAATATCTAGCATTGATTTAAATATGAACGTTCCAAATCCGGTGAATCCTCTCGCAGCGTTAATCCTCACAAAGAAGAAAATCCGTAGAAGGAAAACCATTAATCGAACAGGTTTCCCTACTACAAAGAAAAAGAAGAAGAAGTCATCACCAGATGTAAGCTTGTCAATGGACACCAAGTTGTCGAAATCAACTATAATCGCTCAAGCAGCTAAATTTCGGGATTCGTCATTAGAAAAATTAAAGAACGATGCTAAAACAGAGGATAAGGCAGAGTTTTTGGAATCTACGCAGACTCAGGAGAAGGTATCAGTTTCTCCTACTATTGAGGATTCTGATATAAGAGACGCTAACGAAGAAGCGATCACCGATCAAATTGATGTAAAGGACTACGATGATTCCAATTCCCCAAAACCGGAATTGTCGAGGCACAGTTATTCCGAGGACGTCCTGGAATCTTATCCTGGACAGTTGAGGGTTCGCAAGGATTTGGTGGAGTGCGATGGATCCCAACCTTGCGACAAACTGTGTCCTGTTAAATATGAGAAAATTCAAGACTCCAGGATGTACGATGAAAACGCCACCTTGGAGGAATCTCTGGAAAGGTACAATCAAAGTCAGAGGGTAGCTGAACTTAACGAGGAGAATCTGCGGAAGTTGGAACGGGCTAACTCTCAGGACAACGTTAAAATGGAACTCTCGAGTAATATCAATAACAATCATGGCCATAAGAGGAGAAGGGGGTCTGCTAGCCCTTGTAATCTCACCCTTCGTAGCTTGAAGAGGCTCAGAAATGCTGGTTATGACACCGAGAGCGATGCTTTGCCAAGCAGCGACATTGCTAGCGACGACCACGAGGTCGGAAGAAACGTCAGTTTGACCCACGGCAGGAGAAAGCAGCCCAGGTGGAAGAAAAGGTACCTGCAGGCTGGATTGTTTTCCGACTACTTTAAAGAAGACGAGCCTAGAAAAATTAGCAATTCGGACAATGGATCTGGCAAGAATAAACTGGCATACGACCCTGCTGAACATCCACATGGGTTGTTACCTCCACCTTATCATTGTGGCAAGTTTTTGAGGCAGCGAAAGATACCGTTTCAGCTACCTTATGACTTATGGTGGCTGCATACTCACTCGAGGCTTCCGGGGCGAGATTTGGTTCCTTCCTGGAATTACAGGTTTGAATAAATGCGACTTTGTTATCTTTGATGTTTCCTATCAATTCTATTACTTAATTTCATTTATCATCTTTAGGAAAATTCGAACAAATATTTATTACGACGTGAAGCCCACTACATTGTACGAAGCCCAGGCATGTGAATGCAAGCCTGAAAGTGGTTGTGGCGATGACTGTATAAATCGTATGGTCTTCAGCGAATGTTCGCCACAGCTTTGCCCTTGCGGTGAAAAATGTGAGAACCAAAAGATTCAGAAACATGAGTGGGCTCCGGGGTTGCAGCGTTTCATGACGGAAAATAAAGGCTGGGGTGTCAAAACGCAGCTGTCTATTAAATCCGGCGATTTCATTCTCGAATACGTCGGAGAGGTTGTCTCGGAAAGGGAATTCAAGTCTAGAATGGCCACAAGGTGAACTGAGTTCTTTTAGGAATGAAATAAATCAATTTTATTGTGTTGTGATTACACACTTTTATTGGGTTGTGTAGTAAGTTCGCATGGCTTTATTTTTTTCAAATGCACGCACGACACAAACCGTACGAACTTATTACAATACCCCATACTGTAGTATTATGTGTATGTTTTAAGTGTATTCGTAATGATGTATATTTTAGATATGCCAGTGATACGCATCATTACTGCTTACATTTGGATGGTGGCCTTGTAATTGATGGTCATCGCATGGGTGGTGACGGTCGTTTTGTGAATCACTCTTGCGAGCCTAATTGTGAAATGCAAAAGTGGAGCGTACATGGATTACCGAGAATGGCTCTATTTGCGTTAAGAGATATTCATTCAGGAGAAGAATTAACGTATGACTATAATTTTGCCTTATTTAACCCCTCTGAAGGCCAACAATGTAGATGTGGTAGCAACGCCTGTCGAGGAGTTATTGGTGAGTTCTTATTAATTGTTATTGCTATTCACTACGTTTATATTTGTTATATTTGATCAAAATTACAACGATTTCATTGTTTTCAGGCGGCAAAAGTCAGAGAGTCAGTCGATCGCTTCTTCCGGCTCCTCCGCAATTAGAACCGCCTACCGAAAGAAGATCCGTTGGTCGTCCTCGGAAAAACGTTCGAAAGTCCAACATCGTGCAGTCGTCGAATTCCAAGGGCCTCTGCAAGTCTCGAAAAGTCGGCGACCCTACTCTTATCAATACTCCCTTGATAAAGCCCATGTCACACCAGCAGAGGTGCTTTGCACAGCAGCACCATTGCTTCCTGCTGAGAAATTTGGAAAAAGTCAGGCGTCTGAAATCATCGGTCAGTCAGGTGCAAACGCAGCCTGGGAAAACAAAAGTGAGCAGCGTGCAGGCTACCAAAGAAAAATCTGCAGGCGATTCCACATTATTCTCGCAATTGACTGCTCTGACAAACACTAATGCACGTACCGTACGAACACGTAGACTTGCGCAGGCGCAAGATGATCCTGAAGTTAACAAAACTGCAAAATTGGCGAAGGTACGAAGACAAATTTATAATGCTCCCCGTACTTACAAAGTGATTATTCAGATTCCTTTTTATTTTTTAATTAAAACGTGTGTAAAGTATAACATTTAGTTATTGGAACGTTCGATAAAATAAAAATCGTGTTATTTTTACAGGTTTTAAAGGATTTATATACAGTTGTAACGACCGCCAATGATGAGAACAGTCAACTACTATGTACTCCGTTTATGAATTTGCCACCGAAGCGAAAATTGCCTGAATATTATGACAAAATTCAGGATCCGATAGACTTGATGACGATAGATCAGTGTATCGGGACAGGACATTATAAAACAGCGGAGCTTTTCGATCAAGATATGATCAAACTCTTCGACAATAACGTTAAATTCTTCGGACGTACCTCCGAAGTAGGCATAGCTGCAGCTAGACTGAGAAAGTTATACTTAAGTAGTAAACCAGATTTCATTGATGCCATAACAGAAGCTACGGGCATTCCTCCCTCGCAAGGATTTTTACCTCCGCGAGGCTCGACTGCAGGCGAGGAGGATGTTATACGGTGCATATGTGGGTTGCACAGGTAATTTTTATTTGCTTTCATTTTTAACAATTGAAGGAAAGTATCGATTAGCTGAAAAATGGAAGATTTTACAAAACTCTAATCTTTTAGGGACGAGGGGTTAATGATACAGTGCGAACGTTGCTTAGTGTGGCAGCATTGTGACTGTGTTAAAGCAGATACAAGTGTGGAGTCTTATTTATGTGAAAGGTGTCAACCTCGCACGGTTGATCTTGAGATTCCATTAGAAGGAGAAGAAGAAGAGGAAGGAAAGAAGCATTACGTGACATTATTAAGAGGTGATCTTCAACTCAGACAAGGTGATACGGTATATGTTCTGAGAGATACACCGGAAAAGCATACGTACAAAACAATTCAAAAGCCTGATTATGAGCAGATGGATATATTTAGAATAGAAAGGCTATGGAAGAACCCCGAGTAAGGCTCTTTAAACTGTGCTTACCATTATTGTAACTTTGAAATTATGTATAATCTAATACGTCATTCCTTTATGTTGCATAGGGGTGAGAGATTTGTATTCGGACATCATTACTTAAGACCACATGAAACGTATCATGAACCAACGAGGAAGTTTTATGAGAACGAGGTTGTATGTGCACCACTTTATGAAGCCGTTCCATGTGATTTAGTGGCTGAACGATGCTGGGTTCTTGATCCGCATACTTTTTGCAAAGGTAAATATTTAATGACCAACAAAATTGTTAGGACTTATTATGTTAGCATTATTTTTGCTGAATCTTTATCCCAGTTCTTTCGTAAGAGCAACTACAGATTCTTATGATTTTTAATTAACTTAGGACGTCCTGTGGGTGCTACTCCCGAACACACGTACGTCTGTGAATATCGGGTGGATCGAGCTGCGAGGCTATTTACAAAAGTTGCCAGAGCAAGACATCAAGTGTGCACAAAACCTTATGCCTTTGAAGCATTTCCTGAACGTATTAAGCATTATCGCACTTATTTGGTACGGATATGGAAATTACTAACCATAATCTATATGATTTACTGCTATGTTTATTTTGTAATTTACAGTTTTACTGTCGTGTTACTGTGTTCAATCAATACCGTAATGATTTAATTTACAGCCCCACAGTTTGGAGGGTATCCAGGCCAGTGGAAAACTTTTAAAAGATAAGAAGAAACACAATAGTCAAGAAGAACACAATCATAAAGTAGAATCTACCGAGTCAAGTAAATTAAACGGTAAAGATCAACTTAAGACCTCTAATGGAAGGACTAGACGTCGATCCAGTGAAAGCTTATCGGCGTACGCACCGTCTACGATATGTGTACAGGTAAAAACCATTAATAAGTAGCACAGAAATATGTTTCGTTTGTCTTCCAAAAATACTGTCATCCTGACATATCTTATACATGTGTTTGCATAATTGTTTAAAAATGTATCGTTCAATGTGCCCAATTAGTGATACACTGTTGCAACCTCAAACTGAAAGACGTAGGAGGACCTTGACTGCACGAAAGTGTTGATATTATTAAATATCATTACAGGAAGAATAATTTTTAATCTATAATCAATGATTTCTTTAACAGAGAGAAGAACAAAAACGAAGGCTGAATCGCATACTAATTGACTTGTTACAAAGGATGCCAAACAAAAAAGATCCTTTAGACTTATCATTCTTGCTGGATCGAAATAGGAGGAACCGAAAGAGACCGGGTGGTCTTAATCCGTGATATTGGGTAATATCGCAACGATAATGTTGCGTTGTATTGTACGTAATCCACTTATCACTTTCGAGTCCACTACCCTTGAGTCGAAGGATCAACCAGCTTTGACACAGCGTTTTGACTGTACTATGAATTACCAGTGTGCGATTCCTTAAGTATATTTACGTACAAATGTAGAATATCTCTTATTTCCCTTAAGCAGCCCGTCCAACGTTGGTATGAGCTTATTCTATTATGTTACAACGTTCATTATGGGTAATCACACACTTTATTCCTTTATTTAATGTAATATCTACTTATCATTCAGTTATCGTCGGAATGCGATCATTTGGTACAATTTTAAAGATAAATACCATTGCGTAAATTACGCATATATGTATAATCGAATCGAATATGTATGTATATTGACGGACATGAATCCCTTCATTTCGGAAATTGTACGGCTAGTGTATAATGGGTAGGCATACATGTCCATCAGTGTACGCATCGATCCGTAAGGGTGATCGAAATGATTAAATATCAGTCGCACATGAGGTGATTGTATAAAAATTTGAGATACTTAAGATTTTTGGGCTTTGCGATAAAAATCGACTTCCCTTAAGACAATGGCAAAGGACATGGAGCTCCTTTTATTTATTAAAAATCAGATTCTTGTACAGAGTTTGTTGTAAATTATTTTTAATTTTTATCGGAAATATCGTTAAGCCCAGAGAATTACTTGTACAAATTACAAACTAACCGCGAGAATGCGCGAGTGAAGCTTTGTTGCACAAAGTTAATATTATATATATTTTTCATAACCCCGGTGTTAAGTGAAAGTAATTGTAAAGTAAATCGATAAGAGGATAAGCGTACTTGAATAATGTATTTAAGTTATTATTGCAGCCAAATCTGGCTAAAATTTTCATTATTTTAGAATTGTACATACACACAAAATTGCATATTTATTATTATACATTACTAGCATCATATACATATATATATATATAAATATATATATATACAAATATTCATATTTAACACCCATAATCATTGTTTTTTATGATATTCATAGAATATTCGCTGTATACTTATAGTCTTTAGTTCGATCATTTAAAATAGGTGTGCGCTCGCTGCATCTCCCTTGATGGAAGACGAAGATTTTACCGACGCATTATATAAAATTTTAAAAGAAAATTATTTTAATATCGTTTCCTTATTTACACTCATTGTGCGGGAAGAAATTCGTTTTATATATTATGTGGCGTATTTAAATGGCGTATTTAAGAAGCTGATCTTTTACTAACAACGGAGTGAAATTTAACATTACAAACTTAGGTGCCTTCCGCCTTACGTTCGGGTAGGTGCAGTCCCTTGCTTTATACTAACAGCGAGTATCGAGCGTTTTGGAACATGATTTCGCCATGTAAATTACATTTGAGTAATTAAATACTAGAAGGGGATGGTCAAATTTTCAACGACTTAGTGTTCCGCTTTTGACGACGTAGCGGTGAATTGCTGATTTCAATTCGTGTATGCTAATGTACAGTTTTGATGTCACGTGTCGATCCGTTACGATACTAGACGGATAATTTTGCACAGTTTTTCATTGTAAAGAGCTCGAAAAGCGGAATATTTGGTCATGTAATGTTTACGTATGAAATATGTTATTCATTTAAAACCCATGCCCGTACAGATTGCCATCGTTATCATTTTGAATCATGAACTTTTGTTTGAAAGCGAATCTCCGAAAGCTTTGCTGCCACGTAGAGTATCTTAGACAATTAGGCTTCTTTGCTACAGAATATTAAAACGCTTCCTCTACATAGGTCCATAACTCAACGTGGCATTAATTTTCTTCTAATAATACGCGATAGCTCGTACGCAGTCGATTGTATTAATTTCTGAGAATGATAAATACACGTTACCGAAATGTAATGGTGCACGTAATTTTGTCATGGATGTCTCTAAGAATGTCCCCACTGTTTGATACAGATTTTTTAACCAACTAGTGTCTGTTAAAGTTCTCGACACAGTATACAGAGTGTAATAAGAATCAAATAAAAGTAAAATGTCTTTACAAAAATGAAAGATTTTGTAATGCATTTCATCGCGTCGATCTGTTTAATCGACAAAACGTGGTAAATAGCTGCTGCACAATTTACCGACAATAAGTCTTTATTATTTCAAGACTCGTTCGTTAGGCGCTGTTTATTTCGTCACCGATTAAGATAATAGGAAACACTTTTCTCGCGGTATTTGCAAATGGTTTTCCGTAGAAATACATAACGGTGTTAATGTGGCGAATAAACTAGCGCTAATGGTGTGCACCTCGTGAGTCAACGATCCTACTTTGGTAATCACGAAAGGAAAAGGCGATCCCCTTGAACAGTTAGAAATCTTCTGTTAAGAATAAGGTTAAAGGTCGACGGATTGCTATAATTCACTTTACATGAAGTGTAGAACAAGGCCAAAGGCCGGCGATCTGTCACTGTTCAATTGATATTAGAGTATCGAAAGTACCAAGGACGGTACCAATCGACCGTGTCCCAGGTCGGGAAATCGTAGTCAAGTTGCAAGGAAATCAATGTTCCTTTCTTATCCGATTCTTGTGTAATTTCACTTCCAACTTGGATTTTCCTCTAGGGGAATTTCACCACTGCACAAGGGGCCCTGCGTCTATTCCCCAGCATTTGTGAATATTGTTTTAACGCAGTTGCGCGGATGAATCTATTTAAATTCCTACGAGATCGTTATTGCCTAGAATTGAAACGAAATTTGTAAATCTGTTTCCTCCTTTCAAGATTTCATACCGGTACGTATGGCGGAACTATCGCCGTAGATCAGGTTCTTAAGTGTTATCCAGATACCTACTTAACCCCTGGGTTCCTTTCTCTCGGCTGAACAATTAACCATTAATCGAATGGCTTGTGTGTGCGACTTTTTGCGTCCGAACTCAAAGTGCTGCAGGTTAATCATGGTCAAGGACCGTGCACGTAAAAAAGAAGTTTCTCCATTCTGCTTTCTTCGCGCTATTAACGATTATAATTGCTGCACCGTTACGCTTTTCGCGTTATGCTTCTTAATCATATCGCCCGGTGCAATGGGGATCTAGCTCCACTTTTACTGCACCGATGTGAGTACACAGCGAAATAGAAAACTCAGGAGGTAGAATAATCCAAACGAAATTGGATAATATCTACAAGTTCAGGATTAACCGATTCGTTTGGGTTTAGTCCCTTTTAAGGGGATGTGAAAGTGGCATCTGAAAGCTCAATCGTTCATAAAACTTTTCTACGAACTGAGTGTCTCAAATCGTTTCAAACTTTATAACGTGAATATGGAGACCCTAAAGTAGGTCCTGAAACTCGCGAAATTTTATTTTTTATAAACTATTTTTAAAATACCTATAAACAAATTTAAAAAGAATTGAAATTTCATGAGTTTCAGGACCTTCCTTATAGTCTTCCTGTTCACGTTGTAAAGTTTCAAACTATTCGGTAAACCGAGTTGGGAGAAAAGTTTTATAAACGAAACCTCCGACGCCACTTTCACATCACCTTAAGTGAAAGATAAGTCCTTTCGTTCAACGTCTTCGTCTCCGCGTAGTTCTAGCAATTATTTCTCCCAATTAACCGCAACTGATTTGCGGATCGTTACCGAAGAATCTAAAGAAATCCACGCATGCCGTATCTTCGAGAAGAGGATTCCAATTTACATAGGAAACTGCAGAGGCGCGTTTCTATATGAAATTTTAATGAGCCCAAGAACGCTTTAATAATTTTACACCGTTTGCAAGAATACCTGTCCTGCGGATGATACACGTGATAGACGAGGTCGATACGACAACCTGTTATTAAGAGATCGAAAACAAAAGGAAGACGCTCTAAGGGCAATTGGCGTCGCGCGTCCATTAGCTGACGCATTCGTCGATAACAGACCAGCATTACCCTGATCAATAGTTGCGGGTTTAATTTAGTCACGTTTATCCGTCTTGCAGTTATGACTTGCAAAGTAATTTTTACGTAGATTATATAAGACGCTTAGCCAATAGTTCAAGGTCGAAGGTCTAAATTTCACCCCAGAGGATAGAACGTTTAACTTCGATCAGAGGGAGGGAAACCCTGGTACTTCGCGAAGTGGTACACGCGAGTTCAACTTAATTTTTATCGGGACTTCTCGGAAAGTCCCGGATCGCTAGAGTAATACCAAGTTATGTTCTAGATGTTCCAGAGATTCGGCAACGAATCGAAAGAAATGGACTTCCTCGGAGGAGCAGATTCTCAACTCGGAATTATCCTCGGGCCAGCCTCGGCGGTTCTGCATACAATCCAACGGGCATGTTTTATGATCGTTGCATATACATTAACGTGCATTGTCTCGCGTGTTGCACAATGGACTCTATTATCACTGTGCAATAAGAATCAAAATATCTCACGAGTATTGTACGCGTGCAGTGTCGGTTCCACGGAATGGACGGAGTGGGCGGCGCGAGCGGAGCCGTGTCACGAACGGGAATCGCGACATGCTCGGAAATGTACAGGTGATCACGTAAGTCAATAATCGTCACTTTGGAAATTCAGGTAACCTTACGGATTGGAAGAGGCCTTGGCGGTCACTCGGGTGACCCTGAAATCTTAGCAGGAGGGAGGCTCACCTTGTGCGGAGATTTTCGTTCCATCGTAGGAGCTTCGGTTAAGGTGATTTATTTCCCAGGCACGCGAATAATGGACGATCCGGCGCCCTCCGCTCATGGAAGGAGCGAATGGGAATGCATTTACGAGAAATCAGCGAAAACCTCCCGATCGACCTTTCCCTTGGGGTCCATTTAGACGTCTCACGGACAGTCGTTAGCGTTAATGCACATGCCGCGGTGGTCTAAAAATACTTAATCAGCCTTGCCGTATCAGCGCTCCAGTTTATGGTACAATTAAAACGTCCTAAGCTAAGCGTTTGCGAGGGTTAATTTTAACGCACACTTCGTACACTCCCTTATTACAGGGCGAAAAGTAAAAATCCACGAGAGATTTACATTCCCCTTGGTTTCTCCTCCGGGTACCCTACAATCAAGGAGACTTTTACAGGTTTCGCTCGCGTCCCCCTTGTAAAATTGAACAAAGAAACCATGGCACGAACGCGTACGGGTACTCAGCGTGGTAACTAGGTTGATTTACGTTTAAGGTCGTCAGGTGAACAGCAAGTTCGAGGTTGTTCGCCATACAAGTTCAAGGCTGTCCGACGCCACGTGTATCCTCAAGGCCTCATCTTGCGGCCGTACAAGTCTCTCCTCGCCGTACAAAGTATGCCTCCTTCAAATTTCGGTACTACTCTTTCACCCCCTGAGTTATTCCCTTCCACTGAGCGATACTCCGAAATTAAATCCACTGGAATAAAGGATATCGCTCGTGTACGATCGGGAATAACCCGTAAATTCGACCTATGGAAAATCTAACGAGCGTTCCCTGTACCGAGGTATGCCCCACGTGGAGGTGTTTACTTTTCAGTGGGCATTTCTGCACAGAGTCTAGCAACTACTTTCCTGGCACCATTCACATGAGTCACCTCCTTTTCCTCATTTTATCAACTTTACCTGGCCGCTCACGCCTAGTGGGACATAACGTGAATATTAAATGCAAAGGAGCAATTAGTCATCGGACCCTCGGTGAGTCACTTCGAGTCCCGGGGTAGGCGCGACGCGTCGCGATGCCCCGAGATGCGTCGCGATGCACCGAGAGAAAACGAGTTGATTCGACGTAACGCTGCGCGGTAATAAGCATTCGCAATAATTCTTTGAGTAGTTGTACATCGTATCCCTTTTATGCCGAGCGAAAAACTTATTTTTTGTCCCTTGCCAAAGAAATCTCATGGCTCCAGTAAAATTAATTCCATAAGAATTATCAGTATTGCAACCTGTGATGGCAAGTAGAAATGATTTCGGGAAAAAAACTCGATGTATAAAACTGGTCTCAAGTATTGAGAATATTACAACTTAGTGCTCGATAGAAATAATTATTAGTGGCGAATAAATATCGCTTGAAGATGATGAGATGAGTTTAAGAAAATTGTGTATTAATCGCCATTTATCTTCATTTCATTCGATCTTATTTTGTTAATAATAGGCACCGATGCTCAGGGTATGGATTGGCGCCTATTTCACAGCTCGTAGAGGTAATTGTTTAACACTATTTTTCTTAGGGTGCACCGAGACGAGTCCCGGCGCCGGCCGTAATCCGTTAAGGGACGTCTCGTGGATTTACAAGACTGCTTTCTTGCGTCTTCGAAGATGGGCATCAAGGAGTCCTCGTAAAGCGGTGTTTTATGCCGATCACTTGCACCCTCGCCGGTGCAGTAACCGGTTTCTTATTTTCGTGCCACTGGGTACAGCCATTATACAGTAGAGCCTCAATTATGCGAACTAAACGGGACCGCATCGATTCTACTTAGGAGACATGCCAGAGTTATCGAACTCGCTCTAACATATATAAATTAAATAACTTTTATTAATCCAGAATTAGAGGTAACCCTGGTACTTCATTTCTGCACTTAATCAGGGTTGACTAAGTTGCGAGCATCGTCCAGCGCGTACGATGGAACTTTTCGAACCATATAAATAACAAAAGAAAAATAATAATGAAAATATGAAATCACTTTAAAACTGCAGGCATTGTCCTTGTGCGGGTTTGAAGTTATCGGTGCAAAGTGAATTCTTTATTCTTTACCTAGGAGGATAGTTAAACCAAAAAATGGAGAAACTCTAATGTCGAACCTTGATTTTTTTACAAAAGACGTCCGTTGTCATTATGCGGTGCTATATTTGAAAAATGAATTCATTGATAAGACATATTTTCTCGGACTTTCACGTCATACGGCTCGACGGAATGCACGTCAGAGAGATTTCCATACCGGTGACAAATACCGCACGTAAGAAGACGATTGTCTTCCTTGCTTGCATTTTTTATAGCAGGTAGGAAAGAGAATTCGAGAAACAAGTGAATACCGTTTGTATAATTTAACGAGCGGGACGTATATCATCTAAACCTGTCGCTTGCTCAACTTTCTTTTTCCAGGCGCCCGCACGTTATTATGTGTCAGTCGTGTGTACGTTTTTTTACTATCGGTTTAAATAAATAATAGGGGATACGGGGAGCGATCGAAGAGCCTTCGGCACGCAATACGGCAGTCCATTGGGAATTAATGAGCCATGAGGTTTCTTGCGCATCTCCTCTGCAATAAACGCTGACGCGGGCTCATCCGATTATGCGGATTACGATCGTCGCCATCGTTGACTCACTGGCGCCGTACACTTGTCTAAAATAATCCCGCTCTACGATACGTCGGCCGATGGTCCCCATCAGCAACCAAAGTGATTTCCTTACATCTACCGGGAAAAAGGGATGACGGCGAATCATCCTCGCTTGCGAGGTTTATCGCGTCGAGATTATCATTTAATTTACAATTTCACAGAGTTCAGATTGGGCTTTTTCGCTACAGAATTCTTCAGGGGTCTTCCGATCTACGGGACCGTTTTTCCATTTCTTTTCAGGGATGAATTGTAAAAAAGAACAACTACAGTCTTTAACGATCCACTTTGTTCACCCATTCCTTGACGTTTCGACTTTTTATAGGAGGTAGCAGATTTCTGACAAGAGAAACGAAGACATTTTCGGCGTCATAATCGCGTATAAACGTATAACGCAGTTACCATTTAGCCACTGCGCGTACTACCTGTGGCGCCCTTCCTTGCAGTTATTTACAACTTCGTTAATTTTTTGGAATTGGAGGTAGTTCTAGTGCAGGGACATTATCAGAAAGTTAAACTATCAGAAAATGCGATAAAAAAGAAGAAATTAGTTTTTTTTATCTCTAGCCTGAAAGAAAGTAGTTGCGAAATAGGCGCCAGTCCCTAAAAAGGATACGAGATACAACTACGGAAAGAAAGAATAGCTTTACAAATCGTTATTTCAATCGAAATAAACTATCTGCATATCGTATCTTTTTTAGGAACTTGGCGCCTATTTCACGGCAACTTTTCCCGTGGCGACGTTCGATACAATTTCTTCTCGGCGTAAACCAGAGGACCCTCTAACAAGGAAACATTCCCAAGTATCCGCCGCCGATCTTATTAATTTTCATATATGTTAAAGAACATAAAAATCGAAGAAACTCTCTAAGAGATTGGCAAAAAGTAAAAAACACGTATTTCCTCATTTTTCGGATGAATCACATGGCGCAAGTGGAATTTAAGTAGGAGTGCTTGTTTAATGGATATTACAAAAAAATGTCGCCTGAAGGGTAATTCATCCCCTTGGGGTGGTGTAACATTACTAGACAATACTGTGTTTTCACCGTCTTTATACAGAATACGTTTATGCCAAGTTTCGTTGAAATCCCTCCATTGTTTCTACGAAAATTAGGGTAAAAATGGAATTTTCGCCAAACTTTGGGGGGTTTTATCGCCTCATAAATGTGAACCATTGAAGATAAAAAAAAAGAAACACGTGTCTCTTAGATTTATATGTTCCTCAACATATATGAAAATCAATAAGGTCGGCGGCGGACACTTGGGAATGTTTCCTTGTAAGGGCAAATCGGCCGGTTCGAGGTGCATCCTCGGAGCTCCCCGGCACGTATCGGTTGCCGCGATACTCCCCGTGGGAACCTGCGGCCCCGAATCGAGTCCCGAGGGATTCCTCGCCGGGCTGAGTCCCGGAACGAACGACCGGGTTGGAATCCCGGAGGAAGCCCGAGCGGAACGGATCGGCTCGGGAGGGACGAGCAGAACGGAATCCCGATCGAAAGGGGCGATCCGGTTGGAATTCCAAGCGGGAGGGAACCATGGGATCCTCCGGAGGGATTCTCCGGAGCGGGCCCCGGGCGAAGAATCCCGGTCGGGGCCCATAGCGATCCGGATGCCGATCGAATTCCTGCGCGAATTCCTCGGGCCGGTGCCGTCGGCAGACGGCCGGGAGCGGGGCCCGGTGAGGGGAATACCCTCGGGACGGGAGGGGAACCCGGACCGAGGCGCGGCGACGACGACCGGCGGGAAGGGACCGAGTCCCGAAGAGCCCCCACGCGGCCGCCAAGCCAGACGCGCCGACCCGAGAACACGCGCCGACTAAACGCCGCCGATCATCCCGATGCAGTCTCGCGCGCAACACCGAACACGCGACTCGCCGCCGGAGAGAGAGCCCAAGTCGGACCGCGACTCGAGCCGCCGACCGCGGCCGGCGACCTCGCCCGCACAGCCGCGCGCCCAGACGCCCCGGCACCGGCCGGCGGTCCGCGCCCGCAACCCCGCGCAGCGAGGGCGAGGCCGGCACAGCGACCGCAAGAGGTGCGTTCTCCGAGAGGGAAACGACTTTCGGGCATCTCGAGTCGAGGCTGATCCGAGGTTGTTGGCCCGCGCGCGCCGTGGACGGAGGATGCCCGGACCCCGATCGCTCCCCCGGTATTCTCGCGACCGTGGCGAGAATAAGAAAGGGGGGAACCCGAGACTTTTCCGTTTTTCCTTCTCGTTGTCGGATAGCATATAATATATATCATACCATATCGCGACGTGCAGCCGTTTTGCAAAATGCGGGGGAAAGAGAGGGACGGACGGTCGCTTGTTTTCTGGCTCTCCGTGTGGGTGTCCGGGTATCCTATGTTCGCGGTGCCGGCCTACGAGGACGAGGGAGTCGAGAGAGAACCCCGATCGCAAGTTCTCAGATTTCCTGGGGTATTTTGAAACTCGGCGAGCGAGACCGGGACTTTCCAAGGGTAAATTACGGGACCCTGGGCGCGGGAGTTTCGACCTCTTCGTCGGTCGGAATTACGGTTCGTACGTGCTCGGGTCGTGGGAGTGGTGAACGATCGTCCACTCGCTCGAGAGTTACCGGCCGATTTGCACGGTCCCGTGGTGTTTGGGACAAGGTTTCTCGACGGTTCGACTTTGCCGTAAGAAAAACCCGAGCGAAGCCTCGGTCGGGCGATCCGGCCGAACAAACGAAGGCTACTCGCGCCGCTCGGTCCACGGTCGTTAGCGAGGAGGTTTCGCCGAGGAATCCTTCGTTTCGTCCCTCATTAAACCCTCTTGCTCTTTCCCGCTCGGAATGAAGTCGGTATCGAGTTCGAGATGCTAGAACTCGGTTAAAGAACTTGGTTCGGGGGTAAGTTACAAGAATTCGGTCCGTGGACCCGCGGGACTTGGATGGAAAATTTGAAGGAAAACCTCGAATGAAAGGGGCATCTCGTCCCGTTCTTACATATTAACTGCACGCATGATATCATATCCAATACCCTGCTGTACGTAACGTTGCATCTAGTTTCGCGTTACACCCTGGACAATCGCGTTCTACGATTTAATTTAAGGTGCTATAAATGTGGCATCCGGAGAATCAATCAAACGATTCGGACCCAGGTCGCAGAAAGGATTCTTAACGTTTGACCCCTTAGACCCCGCTTTCGTATCACCTTAAGTTCTCCGTCCGAGTTCTAGCAACGTGGACACGAGCTCTTCCCCCGCCCAGGTGCAACTTCTTCCCCCGAGGAGGGGCCCAACGTGGCGCCTGGTTCCCGGCCAGTCGATCATCCATTATCCTTCGGGTTGCCCGAAGTCCCGAAACTCGGCGATCGGTCGTTCGCGAGCGCACGCGCACCTCGATCCCCAATTTCTCCGGCGAGCCCTACCGCAAGCTTAGTCCTACTCGAGCCCAACGCGCGTTCGCAGGTGGCAGCCAAGTTAGCCGAGGGTAACCCTAAGACCCGATCTACCGAATTGCAGGGGCTATCCCGGGCCGGAGATTTCCTACGGAGAGGAAGAGCCGCCTTCGCGAGCGACAGTTGAAAAGCGAGCCAATTTCACGCGTGATCGCTCGCCGCGACACGCAGCACCGATCGGGAAGTCCCCGTGAGTCGACCGCTCTTGGTTTCGGCGCTTCCTGGTCTCTTGAAAACCGCATTGATGGCCCCCTGGAGCCGACCGGAAGGCCCCGCCGAACGAGCCGCCGTTTAAGGGACAGAGAAAAGAAAGAAAGAGAGAGAGAGGACCGCTTCCGGTGAACGACCCTTCCGCGTTCTCCAAAATGGCGCCCTACAGCGTCCTCCTGGTCAGCCTCGTCGCCTGCGTTGCATGTGAGTATCTCTAACTCGAGTAATCCTAAAATTAACAGGTAATGTATTCGGGTAATTGAAAAAAGAACGATAATCGTGCCATTTTGTCTTTGCGTTCCGTAATTGAGTAATTCATCACGGATAAACGATCGTTCGAGAGGTCGAGTCTAGATGTACCAAGAGAGGATAGCCCTGGTCGAAATATCTCGCGGTTGCCTAGAGAAAGTGCGACTCTTTTATTTTCCCCTGTAACACAGAGGACGAGAATAACCCCGGTGTTCGCCAACCTCGGTTGGAAGGAAAGGATGAAGTGCCTTAAACTTGGCCGATCTAGTTCGGCGCGGCTCCCCACGAAAGTGGAGCGCCGGTGAGAGCGCGGTGCTCGCCGAGTGCACGGATAACGTGCGTGCGCCTATCGTGCCATCGGGGCTAATATCCATCAGGGTACTCCAGATCGTGGAAAGCGGGCGTTCCGAGGGAAAATTGGACAAGTTTAGACTGCTCTAGGAGTCTAAGTTTGAATCTCTAGAGTTTTCTCCCGTGCGCTGAGAGGTGAACTCTCTGGACCATTCGGTATGGGTGTAGAAGGGGGTTTAGGAAGTAGCGGAGGCCCAGACTCGAGGTACATCGCAAAGGGAAGAACCTTGTTCGTATCGTTGACAAATGTGGTAGCGAATCGATGGTTGCAGCGACACTGAATTGTTTTTAGAGATTGCCTGGCAACGGGCAAACTCCCAGCAGGGGAAAGCTGCCTTTACGGACACAAAGGGTGTTCAAGTAGTCGGGACGGAAAGTACGATGGTAGGGGACGTGATTGTATAATTTTTAATTAATGGTGGCCCTTAAGAATACCATTAATGTGATGGAGTTGAAAGAACAATTCAATTCGAGGCGGATTTTATGTCGAAATTAATGAACTTAAGGTGCGATGGACGTCGAGAAGGCTTTCCAGCTTTTAAAGAGGCGGTCGTAGTTATGCCGATAGAACGATCGCTTATGATGTACATTTTCGAGATTTCATCGGTTATTTCGTTCCATTTATAATCCTTCAATGAGCGAGATGTTTCCGTTATGCTCTAGCCAGAAAAATAGATGCACTTGGTAAGAATGTATCGCTAATGCTTACGTGTTTTCTTCCTTCGACTTCCGCACTCGGCCATTACCGCCTAATTACGGTAATGGTCACCAATTGGAGTAATACAGACGGGACTAATTGGTTACGGATGATCGACCCTCATTTTTCCCAATCTACCGATTCGATAAGTAATCGCGGATTTTAAACGGATTTAAATCTGTTTACATCCGTTTAACAGAGATTTACCGTAAATACAACGGTTTCATTGATAGCTAATCAGCAGGAATTGCTTCCGCCAAGTCATTCGCGTGCACTCCGATACCTGATTAGTTAAATCAGTCCGAGATAACGCTGAAAAATTGCTTAGTTCCTTTTAAAAGGAGTGACCAGAAATTTGCGATATTTCTCTTTTACAGAGAAAAAATAAAAGAATACTGGGACCATCGCTAGAAATTTGTCATTGACAAAACGTTGCTGCCTCTCTTGAGTACAGTGAGCCCTAAGAATGTCGATCGCGATCCATCGAACGCTGTCACGTGACGTTGCACTTGCACGAGCCCGTGTCAAGTACATTTTCCTTCGTTGTTATGCCGTACGCGAAGTACCCGAGAAAGAAAAAAAAGGTTAACACTGGTATATCCCACGCGAATGTCTCATTACGTGACATAAGAGGTACTAGCGTAAAGTGGAACGGACTAATGTCGTCTGGCACCATTGCCATCCAGTATTCGATCCTATTACCTTATTTATCTATTTATTTTTATTGTAACCTTCTCGCAAATACGAGAAAAAAAAACAATGCCCACTTCGGTCTCTAATTGACATTGAATGCTTCCCTTCGTTCTCACTTTCCCTGATACTGACGCCAGGTAAAAAGCACGTCGTAGGTTTGTTCTCGCAATCGCGTTAATCGTTTCGACGACTCGCGTCAACTTTCGAGAATCCTTTATTCAGAGCCAACTTAATTGGCTGCATTTTTTTTTTTTTTTAATGCACTTCGTGGAGAGGAGTTTTATCACGCGATCAAATTTTGAGAGATTGCAGTACCAGATGATTGATAATTCAAATGATCGCTAAAATTGATGAGTAAATGTGTATAAGTGTATCATAAATGCGTTTTACAAAGTGGGACAGAGTATTCGTGCTTTTTACCAACACCTGATGCACATCCCGGGCGTTTGGAGAATATTATTCAAACGAATGGGAATATAAAATTAAAAAATTTAAAAGGATCAATAATTCAAGTGCTCCCTGATTTGTAGGTTGAAATATATAAATGTATTCTATAGAAATTTGTCATGAAGTTAGCGGAAAAAATGGGAGAGGGTGTACATGCATTTAACCAAAAAGTGATCCAGATTTAAGGTGGTTGAAACGTACCACCTTTATGTAAGCTATTAAACGTTAAAAGGATCAATAATTGAAGTGCTTGCAAAAACATCGATTGAGGTTGATGAATACCTATAAATTTCTCGTAAAAGTCGTCTTAAAAAATGGGAGAGAGTGTACCCGCGTTTTACCAAAAAGTGATACACCTTTAAGGCGGTTGAAGAGCATTGTGAAAAATGTTAGGGTGACCCGGCAACTTTCTCTCCTTTTGCCGGCAAACAATTTCGGACTCGTCCCCGGCAAAATCGTTTCTGCCCAATTTCGTAGGTATTGCTCGTCATTGTCAAAAGCATAAATCCTTCGGGACGGGCGAACGACTGCGTTGCCGGCTGGCCTTAAGGCCACTTTAGCGCGCTACGTGCTCCCGCCTTTATGTCCCCAAAGACCTCCGTAAGGGCTACATGGTCATAGAGGAGTTTACTGAGGTCGAATTCCAAATGAGTTCCAGGTAGACATTCCGCGAGACTATGCGTCATTTTTACGGCGTTTTAGCAATGGGTCCTAGACTGGCATTCCTCGACGCAAACCCGAAAATCCCGGACGAAGGCTGTGAGTCGGTAATTTCGATTCGGCGAGAATTTCAATTCTAACCGCGATACCTTTCACGCTAATCGATCACTCGATCGTTCGATCTATGTGGAGAAAAAGAAATAAAACGCGGGGCCTATTTGAAAAATGGTCACGACTTTACGCAGGGTGATAGTCTAATTGCGAGCGATTAATAAATTGGTCACGCGGGACGGGGAACACGTGCACGGCGCGACGTTATCGAAATTTATGGTTAACTATCATTGGGATTCACTTTCGTGGCCGGTGTCGTTAGAATAACAAGCGGTTTTCGCTAGCCGCGTAGTTTCAGAGCCAGGTGCCGAGTAAAAGGTAAAAGCTTTGAGAAGTGATGCTGATCTCACGCGATCGTAATTAGAGCGAATCAGAGTACGCGATAGAAATGCGGCGCATCGTGTAGAAATGCGAGTGCGATTTGTAAACGTTACGCGCTGGGAAAGGTATCGGTACGTAGACGGTCTTGCAATTAACTAATTGTAGGACATTCGCGACGTAGAGACTCCTTCGCCGCCCGAACGTCACCTTTCAATCAGGATTTTTATTCTAATTTATCCAATCGAGGTATCTTCGTGTAAAATATCACTTATAAAGTATTTCGAGTAGACTTCAATAATTCGGGTTGAATTTAAATGCTCTAAAAGTATCGAATAGAAAAAATATATCTCCCTTAATGTTGCGTACATACATCATGACACATTAGATTCAACCTCATACGTTCAATAATCGGATTTATTAAATTCTTAGGATTTTTGCCCCAATGCCGGAAACAACTTTCCTTCACGTCTCTTTATCGGTTTCCTACGGTCGTAGCAATTTATTTTAAAGAGAACATTGCGATTCTCGAAGAGCGTCACTTGGTTCACCACTTTTAACCAGTCGATTTGGTTCGCAGATTTTAACCAGTCGACTTGGTTAACAAATTTCAACCAGTTAACTTCGCATATAAATCTCGACAAGAGAATTTCACCAAGTCAATTTCAGAAAAAAATCGTATAACCCTTAAAAGCGGTTTCGCTTAGGTTCAAATTCACTCAAAATCAGCCGTACAAAATTAAGTTGGCATACGGTCGTCGCGTAATCGTCGTGTTCGCGAATTTAATTGCAAATCGCAAGGTCCCAGATTTACGCCCTGAGGACAGCAACGATTGCTCACGTTGACGACGCGACGGAACACTTCAAGTATTTCGGGTAGATTTCAATAATTCGGGTGGAATTGAAATGCCCGAAAAGCATCGAATAAAAATATATAGAGGGAAATAAAAATATATAGAGAGAAATATATATCGGGGCCCTGGTTCCTACTTCTGCAATTTGGATTGAACGTTTGGCGGTCAAATTGCGTAATGGCTGCATCGCGGACCGTTATGGCCGAAAGTGTCGGGGAATTGAATGGTCCGCGATGAAACGAATCGGCCTTCGGCTCGACCTCTGCGTGCAATATCGTACACGTCATCGGCAGGTGTATGTACAAATGAAGACGTTATCCTCGTACAATACGCCCCCGCGGACTCGACGATGCGGTTTCGCAGCGGAGAACCGCATCTTTATGCCGATTAAGTCGGACAAACGGAACCGAGGTGCTTCTCAAAATGGATTTTCAGGCGAATAGCGGATGCAAATTACCCCTGGGTTAGATAATCCGCTTTAAAATCGTTATTCTGGTATCTCGCCTAATGATAAGACTAACGCATTGCTTCCTGGCTGATCGTAACGATCGTTGTTCCGGATACGGATTGCCCGACGTGATTATTACCACGTTCCCCAAGAAGACCCGTACACGAGGAAAAGGGTTCCACACCTTCGAAATTGGACTCAATGATTCAGTAAAGTATTGACACTTTACTCAAGAAAAATATTCCACACCACTCGGAATGACTAGTTGCAGTCTATTTCTTTTTGAGATTTAGAAAACTGGTTAAGTCGTGATTTTGCATCTTGTAAACGAGCGAATAGGTGGATCGCGTCGTTTGTTGACGTTGACACCAGGTAT